AAATGTTTAAAGAAGACCATTTTTATTTTTTAACTCTGTTTCTTAATCCTACCTACATTCTACAACTCTAATCCATTTTCATTCAACTTCAAGTTGTTGGTGATTTTATTAACAAAATTAGTATTTATTCGTATATAGATTTAAATCTTTAATCTATTTTAACCTTAGCTTTTCTTTTATGATGAAAAGATTTCTTACAAATATCAAACAAGGTACTCTAGGAGGACATGTGGAATATAGATGACCGCTTTTGAATCTTTAGAGAAACCAATTAAGGTCTATTATCCTGTCATAACCAACCTAATAAGCAATTTAAGTTTAACTTTAAAAACTTTAGATTCACTGTACAATCCATCCAATTAAACTAAACTTAAATGATGTTGATAGGTGAGGTACTGAGCCACCGTAAGTTCTTTCCCATATGGTATTAGAAACAATCCAATTCTATTAACTACAATAGAACATTGACTTTAGTACAATCCCACTCAAATTAAAGAAACTTTCAGAAAATTAGGGGTATAGTCACGAAAATTTCGCTTTTTCCTCATCTGCAGATTCACAAACAAACACCACTACAGACCAACAGCTACTGTTTCCAAGGCCCCATACACCGCCAGTTCGAGAACGAAAGTTTATTGTCCTTCAACTACCGCACGCCACCACACTCTCATCCCATTGCGTCGCTTTCCCATGCCACTGATTTCTCACTACCCATAGCAACACTGCATAAGTCTGCTTCTCCTCCATCATTGTCGACAGGACCTTAACCAAGAGAAGAAGATAGCCTAATGGTAGAGATAGGTGATTCTCTGTCCCCCATTAGGTGATTTTCCGTCCCTGCCAGCGACTCCTCCACCCCAACCACCATCATCGCAGTGCAATTCTCTTCAATATCTACACAATTGTTGAAATAGCAAAAGTCCCTAGCATGAGAACTAAAGTACTTCTGAATACGAGAGCCACAAAAACATGCATGTCAAATTTCAAATTAATTATGTGTTTAAGTATTCACAATTACACTTAATTTTAGATTGTTAAATAAAAATAAAAAACATAGTTTCTCATATATGAGATCACCTTAAAATTTAACTTACATAATATACATAAAACCAATGTTAAATCCAATGGTTTGTTTGGCAAAATAAAACTATACATAGAATTATTACCTGGTGTAAGTAATGGTGTAAGATACATTTGTGTAAATTGATCTTGACTCTAACACATTGATTAATTAATAAAGAGAAGTGCTCAACTTTAAGGGTTGGATCTATTAATAAATCAATGTCACATTGTAGGTTACACTACTAGAAAACAAGGTTTAATCAACAGAAATTTTTGTCGATTATAAAGGAAATTCTATTAATTATAGGTATAATTGACAAACATAATCGATAGTCAAATTTATCGAATAAACAAGGATAAAAAATAAGATAATCAATAGAAATATATCTGTTCGACAGCTTTTGCTGATGATTATAATTGTTTCAACAATAAAAAAAAATATAGAATTAAAAAAATATAGAATTAAATTTTTAATTTTGTAGTTATTACTTAAATTATAAAGTCATTAAACAAAATTCAATGATAAAATCAATTAAGTGCAACAACAATATATATATAAAATAATTTTGAGAATAATTAAAAACAAGAATAATATTCAAATATTATGAGAATCAATGGAAAACTAAGATAAATGATAAGTAATTTACCATGATAATATGAAAAATATATGTAAAAGGGAAAGGAAAAAGCATTATTATACATTATAAGATTTTATTTAAGTAAAAGGAAATGAAAAATATAAATCAAAATGTGAATTTACCTC